GTGTGGGGGCTCTGGGTGGTGACTGTGCTCAGCCTCATGTCCCTGCTGTCCCCGTGTCCCCAGGGTGGCCTTCGTGCGCTGGGAGTTCCCGCAGTTCAGCTCGCGGGGCCGGGAGCTGCTGGGCCGGGGGGCTCTGGCACGGCGGCACCTGCGCAGGGCCGGCTTCCTGCTGGTGGAGGTGAGCACCCCGTCCCCTGTGTGTCCCCACACTGCAGGGCCACCCCTGACCCGTCCCCACCTGCCACGTGTACACAGCACTTCAACTACCCCGGCCCGTTCCAAAAACATCCCCCAAATACTCCCCGAGTGCCACCTGAACGTCCCCAGGTGCCACCTGAGCCCATTCCCTCTCGGGAGCAGAGCCTGACCCCCACCCTGTGAGGTGCCCCTGGGACTCAGGTGTGGCCTCACCTGTGCCCAGCCCGGGGCACAGTCCCTGTGGCCACGCTGTGGTGACACCAGCTGGGCACCATCACCCACCTGGGCACACCTGGTTCTGTAGGGACAGAGGCACAGACACCTTTTGGGGGGCTGCCAGCTCCCCCCACCCCAGGGCTCAGCAGGGATGAGCTGCTGTGATCCCCCCGGGCCACCTGCCAGGTGACGGGGGGGGGACAGGGAGGTGACACAGACGAGGTCTTAGGGCTGATCCCACGGGGTCAGCCAGGATTAAACCCCCAGGGTAATTATAGCCCTGGGGGTGGTGACAGCCACGTGTCACCCCCACAGTGTCACCGTCAGCCCCTGGTATCGCTGTCACCCCCCCTCCAGCATCACTGTCTCCCCTGGGTGGGTGGTGGGATCCTCCAGGTGGGCTCTGGGACTCTCCTCGTAGGTGTTGAGACCTTCCTGGGCAGGCACTGGGACCCGCAGGTGGGTGCTGGGCCCCCAGAGATCAGACTGTGCTGGGGACACAGCTGGGACCCCCAGGAGGATGCAGTGGGACTGGCAGGCCTGGCACAGGGTGGGCACAGCCCTGGTCCCCCATGGGCTCCTGTTCCCCCCTTCCCCCCAGGTGCCCCACTACGAGTTCCTGGAGCTGAAGCTGGAGCGGCAGCGCGTGTCCTACCTGAGGGACAAGGTGGCCAAGGCTGTGGCCAGCGACATGGCCACCGACACGGCCCCCGACACGGCCGCCTAGCCCTGCCCGGGGGCCGCCTCGCCCTGCCGGGGGGCCGTGCCACTGTGCCAAGGTGACCGGGTCACCGCACCGAGGTCACCGGGTCACCACGCCGAGGTGGCCGAGTCGCCGTGCCCAGGTGGCCACGTCACCGCACTGAGGTGGCCACTCACCAGGTCACTGTGCCCAGGTGGGGCCGGGTGGCCACAGCGAGGTCCTCGTGTCCCCACGTGGCTCCAGCGTTGCTGCTCCGTGTCACAAACGGCTCAAATAAACCCCAGATGTACAGGGACAGTGGCTGGGGCACAGTGACATTGGGTCACGTGGCACTGGGGACGGGTGACATTGGGGATGGGTGACATTGGGGACAGGTGGGATTGGGAATAGGTGACATCTGGGAATAGGCTGGATGGCATCAAGTGCCAGGTGACAATGGAGCTGAGTGACATTGGGGCCAGGTGATATCAATGACAGGAGATGTCAGTGCCAGTGGGTATCAGGGGGAAGTGACCTTGGGGCCAAGTGACATCAGGGATGGGTGACACTGGGGCCAGGTGACATCACTTCTGGGTGACAGGGTGTCAGATGGGCACGTGGCAGTGCCCGACCCCTGTATGTCCCCCCCACATTCCACCCCCTCCTCCCCGTACCCGGGGCCGCCAGTCTGAGCTGGGATCGGAATCAGGAGCCACCTGGCCTTTATTCCCGATTATCCCGGGATTGTCCGCGGGGGGGGGGGACAGGGATGGGGCCAGGGCTGGCCCTGGTGCTGGGATGGGGAGCAGCGGCAGAGGGAAGGGGGCCCCGGGATTTGAAGGTGGGGGGGGAGCTCTCCTGCCCGAAGCCCCACGGTGTCCCCGTGTCCCTCAGGTCACGTGTCCCCACACGGTGGGGGACAAGGTGGCTCAGGACAACTCTTGAGGGTGACACAGCAGGGCCGGGAGGGTCTTCAGGAGCGGATTAGCGACCACCTGGCCCTTGACCCTCCGAACCTCGGGGGGACACGGCCCGGCTGGGGGGAGGGCACACGGTGACAGGGGGGGCACAGCCCGGCCACCCCCGGGCAGGGACACACGGGGACAGGGGGGACCCGGCGGGGCCGCAGCTGCTGAGTCACCGCTGGGGCTGTGCCCGTGCCTGGCACCGGCAGCGCGGCCGCGGCCTCGGTGCCAGCCCGGGGGGGACAGTGCCCGACGGTGACGGAGCCCGGGGGGGCCCTGGCAGCGCTCCGCGTGCCCGCGCCTCAGCTCCTCGCCCCCCGCCCCGCGTCCCTCGGGGGGGTATGGGGGGTCCGGGCCGTGGGGTGACGCGGTCCCAGCCGGGACGGGGGACCTACCATCACCTAGATGCACCTCCCGGGCATCACCCCCCTCCCACCGCGCTGTCCGGGGGGTTCGTGTGTGTCCCTCCCAGGGACGCCTCCTCATCCTCCTCCCCATCCTCAGGGAGGGGAGGGGAAGAGCCGTTCCCGTGGTAACGCGCGTCCCCCCACCCCCCATCCTGCACCCCCGGCAGTGGCACCCGCGGCTGCGGGGACACGCGGGGGGGCACGCAGGTCCGTGTGTCCCCCCTTCCCCCGCGGTGTCACCACACACGCGCAGACGCTTTCAGGGGGGCTC